TCCTCCATGGGGGCTGCCAGACTGGAGGAGGTCTCCTTCCTGCAACTACTGCATGTAGCGCGTCTCCTCTATACTTTTCTCCCATTGCTCCTCTGCCTCGGCACACACCTCCAGGCCTGCCCCCAGAACCCAGCAGACCAGGAGGCTGTGAAGGCATCAGGGAGCCGGGGAGTTCTCGGGAAGGTCAGCAAAGTGCAGAGGCTAAGCAGGCAGAGGAATCAAGGAAACCAAGAACTGCTGGGATGAAGCCGAGCTCACCCTGTAGAAGAGGCACCATCCCCCAAATAAGCCATCCCATCTTCATCTCTCTCCTCCCCTCCTCCCCTTTACCAGTCACCTGTCTTGGTGGCTCAGTGGTAAAGAATCCGCCTGCCAGTGCAGGAGACTCAGGTTGGACCCCTGGGTTAGGAAGATCCCCTGGAGGAGGAAATGGCAATCCATTCCAGTATTCTTCCCAAGAAAATCCCAGCGACAGCGGAGCCTGGCCAGGCCACAGTCTGTGGGGTTGCAAAAAGTCAGACACAACTGAGTGACTGAGCACGCATGTCTTGGTCAGATAGAAAGCACATGATTCTGAGTCACAAAGACCTGGGTTCAAATCACAGTTCAACCACTTATTGTCCTTGTACAATCCTTGGGCAAGCTGTGACTATCTTCGAGCATCCTAGCTTATAAGCATCACATAGTTATCTGCAGCAACTATGCTTGCTCCGTGATGGACATTGGGAAGATTGGAGAAAACCATGGATTTACAGCAAGTGACTGGTAAAGGGCCCAGCACACAGTAGGTGATGCAGAAAGGCCAGTGCCCTTCCCGTCACCTATCCTGTCTCTCCTCAAGGCCCCAGACTCTGTTCCTCCCATCTCTCCCTGTGTCCCCTCCTGATGCCGGCCGCTCTGCCAGCCACTCCTTTCCCCTGCCTGCTGTCGGGCCAGGTGCTCCCTCCCTCCTCCCGTTTCCCTCCCCTGGGCCCTGCTCCCTGCCCTCCTGGGCAGCCAGGGCAGCAAGGACGGCACCAAGGGAGTTGCCACATGGACAGGGCCCCACAGAGACACCACCGAGCCTCGCAGGGTAAGGGGCCCTGCAGCCTTACAGGCAGGTGGAAGGGGCTCCCAGGAGGTGCAGAGGAGAGGTGGGAAGGCGCTGGTCCGGACGTGAGAGGGGTGGGGCAAGAGAAGAGAGAAGGAGAGAAAGATGGGATGGCAGGGGAGGGTAGGCCGCTGAGACAGGACAGGTCTCGATAGAGACTGAAGGAGACATGGGAGGAAGGGCCGGGGACCAGACAGAGGAGAGAAAGAGGAGGGAGAAGCAGGCAGCACGTGGAGGGGAAAGAAAGGGAGACGTGAAGAAGGAAGAGACAGGTGGGCTGGGGGAGGAGAGGAGAGAGTCAGGGAAGCTGGAGGGAGGAAGGGCCCGCGTGTGGGCCGGGTCTGGTTCAAGTGAGAGCGCCCCCTAGGAGGGGGGGGCGGGCACTGCTCCTCTGTCCGGGACCCCAGGCAGTAGTAAGAGGCCGACCACTTCACCTTCTGTTCATTCAGCGACGGAGGAAGCCGTCCTGCCTCTAAAGATGGCAAAGGTCAGGGGAGCAAGCAGTAGAACCCTGTCCGCTGCCCACGCCCACCCCCAGCACTTTGCTCCCCACTGGCTCAGGGTGGGGGGTGGAGGATGCGGTTTCATTTCTGCAGAAAATATGGGACACTCGGCCAGGGGTAGCGTGGGGCGGGGAGGGGTGTGGAGAGTCAGGCAGTCCTTGGCCCCATGGAGGGTCTAACTCAGAGACCGCTCAGCAGGATCCCATGGCCACAGGCTAGGTGAGGTGTGAGCCCTGACGTAAAAAGTGGTGGGGCCACCTGGTGGAGGAAGAACTCCACTGCCCGGGCAAGCAAGGGGAGCTTCCCCAACCCAGGCCTGCTGTGAGGTTCAAGGCTGGAGGCTAGAGAGAGGGTGCCACGTCAGGGAGGAAGCCGGGTGGGGCCAGGCAGGATTGGCGGCAGGCGGGAGGGGCCGGATGGAGCCACTCCCTCTCTGCGCAGTCCTCCCCCCACCCTACCCCACCCCAGCTGAGCCCAGACCTTCAAGTGCCTCACTCCCACTCAGTCCAGTGGAGGAACTGGCTTGTAGGGGGCATCTCCTGGCAGAAGGACAGTGTGTGAGCCGGCTGGGTGGGCAGAAGGGAAAGATGCTGAGCATTGGACAAGTGCTGTGCTGAGTCGCTCGGTGGTGTCTGACTCTTCGCGACCCCATAAACTGTAGCCCGCCAAGCTCCTCTTCCATGGGGATTCTCCAGGCAAGAATACTAGAGTGGGTAGCCGTTCCCTCTTCCAGGGGATCTTCCCAACCCAGGTCTCTTGCGTTGCAGGTCTCCGGGATTCTTTACCATCTGAGTCACCAGGGAAGCCCATTGGGCAAGTAGAAGGAAAAAGTAACAGGAGAGCAGGGTCAGAGGTCAGGGAACATACAGGGGGCTTCAGGCAGGCCTGCAGCCTTTACTGAAATGAGAGACTGGCCTTGTGGTCTGTGAGGAGCTGCTGTGTGGATGTACAAAATGCAGTAAGGTCTGGCAAGGGAAGCTTCTTCGCAGGGACTCCTTTGATTGGTGTTTAATAAAAGTTAACCATATGAATGAATGACATGCTCTTCCCTGCTCCAGCCAGGCTCTAGCTAAGGCTTCCCCCTCAGCAGCTGCCCCTCTGGAGGTCTGTGCCTCCCTGCCTCCCTCCCACATCAACCCACCTGTGCTCCCTGCAGACTTCTTTTCACCTGGACCAGCCACACACAGCACGAGGCATTCCTTCCTCATCAGGCTGGGGGGGCAGTGGAGCCAGAGCCTGCAGGAGGCAGTGTGTATGGTGGGGGTGTCTGGGCTTGCAGCTCTCCCTTCTTCTTCCTCCTAACATCTTCACTACCCTACCCTCAACCTCTATACCTCAAAATTCCCAGGTGCTTGTGGGCACAGATAAGCAACCAAGAGTTTTAACTCTGCCACTTGGCTCAGTGGTAAAGAATTCTCCTGACAATGCAGGAGATGCAGGTTCGATCCTTGAGTCAGGAAGATTCCCCTGGAGGAAGAAATGACAACGCACTCCAATATTCTTGCCAGGAAAATCCCACGGACAGAGGAGCCTGGCAGGCCACAGTAATAGGGTTGCAGAGTTGAACAGGACTGAGCATGCTTGTGCAGCCAGCAGAATATTTACTGTGTATCTCTAAGGGGCAGCCCCTACAAAATAACAATATGATCAAGGCGGACACAGTCCCTGCCTCCATAGGGCTTACTGTCTAGCAGGAAGGCTCCCTCTTCTTAGATGACGAACAATTATAGCAGTGAGATGATGTGATGAGTGCCAGGAAATCAACTGCTGGTGCTGTGTGTCAGCACAAGGGCAGGAGAGCTTCTCTGAGGAAAAGACCCGATTGGGAACTTGGGGGATGAAAAGTTGTCTAGATTGAGGAGGGGCCAGAGAAGGGCCTTCCAGGCAGAAAGAGTAATGTGGGGAAGTCCCAGAGTGGTGAGGAGCCTGGCACATTTCAGGATTTGAAGAGGCTTTGCATGACTGTAGGGCAGAGTGAAGAGAGCAGGGCAGTGGAGGTGGTCCCGCCTTCTCCTCAGATGCCAGGTTCTTCCAGGAAGGATTGGGGTAGGGATGAGGGCCTGAGCATTGGGGAGGATCTCTTGATCCTCCATGGTCCTCAACTTTTGGCCCTGACCCCCTCTCTTCTCCTTACAGAGCTGCTGGCTGCAAAGAAGACCCACACCTGTGAGTAGAGGATTGGGGCAGGAACTGGTGCCGGGGTATGGAGAGATGGCAAAGAATTCAGCAAGGGCGCTAGGAGGTTCATGTAGAAGCAAGGCACATGCCCTGCATGCACAGAGCTGGGGCATCCGCGCGGAGGTGGCCAGGCCTGAAAGGAGGTGGAGGTGGAGCTGAAATGCCAGGGAGATGGGGAGATGAGGAGGAGGAGTGAGGAAACCTCAAGATTGGGGGACAAAAGGAGGAGATAAGGGAGAAGCCTGAAAAGTGCGAGGGAACGTCGCAAAGAAGTAAGAAGAGGACAGTGAAAGGGAGCCACAGGAAGGAGAAGGAGCTGCTGGGCAGAGGCACAGGAATGCCGGGTGGGGCTGGGGGTGAGGGGTGTGGGCGGTGGCGGAGATCGCTAGGTCAGGCGGGTGGCCTCAGGGACTCAGGGAGCCTGCACCAGGCTTTGTGGTGGCAGAGTCAGGTTTGCTGTGCATCTCTGTGGTTAACACATCCCAAGGCATGAACAAGCCTGGGGCCAGCCTGTGCAGAGCAGGAGAACAGGAAAGCCTTCATCTTGGTAGGAAACACATGGAGAGAAACACTCTGGGTCCTGACGTTGAAAGACTGAGGCTGCAACGTGTGAGGAAGGGATTAGAGCTCAGGAAGGACTCACCAATGGATACTAGCAAGGAACACCTCTGGGGAACTCTCACCTCATCAGATCTATCCTCCTAGTTCATAAAAGAGGCTACACCCCCAGAAAATGCACCCATTGCACCTTGGTCTCAAAGCTCATATCCCATCAACATGCCCTTCCAGCCTCAGGATGCCTTCTCAGAATCCTTGAACTGAGGAGGACCACACCAGGGCATGAGAGGTCACCTGCCTTTCTCCATGGCCCTCCCTTGGACTGCCTACCAGTTCCTCCTGAGAGCTCACTGCAGCTCTTTCTGCTGCCATCATCACCTGGAGCTCCCTGTTCCAAGCAGAGAGATCTCAGAGGGCCCGAGCATCACCCTCCTCCCTGAGCTGGTCAGATGGGGGCTGGGGGCCACCAGCAGGCGACATCCTTCTGAGTGAGGGGTTGCTTTGCTCAGCACAATCCTGATCAGTGCCTCGCCTGCCCCTAGCCACAGGGCCCCACGGAAATGCTGAGCAGGGCCCTGGGAGGAAAGCGGGTCAAGGAGTGACGCGGGTGAGCTGGGGGAGGTGGGGGCCAGGGACCATATGTGGGTGGGGGGGAGAAGGGGGACTTTCGGAGCATCTGGAACTGGAAGAGGCTAAACGCCATTCCTACCCTCAACCCCTTACCACAGAAACCTCGGCCAGGACCACACCCCCTCATCCCCTTCCAACCCGCTGGCCCTGTGCAACCATACCTCCACCCCACCCCCACCTGTGAGGGTCCTCAGGAGAACATGGGCTGACAGCCCCTCCCGCAACCCACTGCCTGCTTCTGCATGCCCAAGGAAGGCCAGCGGGGAAAGGCCTGTGCCAGGCGCCATTAGAGTTCCGGCAAGATCAGAGACCTCTTAGGAGGTTTGGTCCAGAGAATCCAGGAAAGATTAATGCCTCCCCCAGGCCCCGAGACTCTGAAAAGTGGGCTCTAGAGTGGAGACATTCATAAAAGGGGGCTCCAAGACAAACCCAGGAAGGGAGAAGGCCAAGAGGGACTCCCAGACTGAGAGGGGCACCTGATTACTAAGGGGTCCTGAAGAGGGAACCCCGAGGCTGAGGTGCCCACAGAGCAGATTTGAGGCTGAGAGGGCCTCTGAGGTTGATGGATCCCAAGAAGGACTCTAAGACCAAGAAACTCTATGGAGACTCCCATAGCAGGAGACCCTCCTAAGCAGACCTGAGCCAGAGAAAGCTTCCCATTTCTCAAGTGTAATCTGGGGTCAAACACCCTGATTTTGAATCCTGACTCCACCACTTTGCTAGCTGTGTGACCTCAAACAAGTTACTTAACCTCTCTGTGTTTCACTGTCCTCATCTTTGAAGTAGGGATAATGGTACCTACAACACAAAGTTTAGATCTAATCTGTGAGGATTAGATCATCCACATAAAGCCTTAAGAACCATTTCTGGCACATGGTTACGCATTATTATTAACATCATCTTCATTCCAAGTTCAGCAGTTTTGCTCCTGAGGAAATTTCTGACCAACTAATCCCTCCTACAGATATTGGCATTTGTCTGATGGTTATTACTGCTACTAGAATCACTTATGCCCTGGCCCAGGGCACGCACGGTGTCTGTAGGGAGGGCATGAGCGTGTGGGTGGTGGGCAGCCTCCCAGACTGCATCTCACTGAGCACGACTGTTGGCAGTCCATAGGGTCGCAGGTGGCCCGAGGCAGACATTCTGTGACTTACCTCTAGAAATAGCCCCGTCCCTGGAGTCACCTGGCAAAGAGGGTCAGGCTCTCGGGGATCCTCGGGGGGAGGGGGAGTAAGGACCTGGCCCCAGGCTCCTGTGAGCTCCATTCCGGCTCCCCGGCCAGAACTACCCTGGCGGGTGGAAACAGCTTTTACGCGTGTGGCTGTCGCCTGTGGTTTTGGAATTTTCCAACGCCCCCTGCGATTGGCTGCCCCGCCCCTCACACTCTGCCCCAGGCCCAGATTGGCCACATGGGGCGCCTGTCATCCTACCCGCTGCACCCCAGGGGGGGTGGGGGGGTGGAGTTGGGGGGGGTTGTCACTTGGCCACCTGTGTGGTGCAGATCTTAAACCCCCCGGCCTAGAAGCATTGGGGGAGAGCTAGGTGCAGAGCTGCGGACTGAGGCTCTGCCGAGAGAGCCTGGCCCCCAACCCTGCTGTCAACTGCACCCCATCCCTGGACCACCCCGGCTGAGAAGGACAGGGAGCCCAGGCGGCAAAGCCCAGGACTCAGACATGAGAAGTAAGTGAATGGGCCTCCTGGGAGTGGGGAAGCCTGGGGCCCATCATCATTCCCGGGCCTTCTGAAAAGGAGGGAACAGTGTGGGCAAAAGCCAAGTGCTCTTCCCTGGCAGGGCGTGTCCTGGTCAAGGCTAGGATCTGTTGGGTGGAGTAGTCGTGGAGTCTCGTTCCTCAACATTTCTTGTAGAGCAGTCACTGTGAAAGGACTGTTGAGGAGCTCCTCTGTCATGGGCTCTGGCAAGGATCTCCCAGGGTAGGTGAGGTGCCCCGCGCCTTGTTTTACAGAAAGAGACTGAGACCCAGAGGGGCCCAGTGCTTCACCCCTAGATCACACAGCTGTGGTAGGTGGAGGCTGGTAATTAACAGGCAGCCTGAACTCGTTGTCCCGGCACCCACTGCAGCGTTTCCCTCCACGCCTCCAAACTACCTGTGGGCAGGGTGAGAAAGGAGGCTGGAGGAGCCACTGTGCCCTGAAGCAGAGGGTCAGCGAAGGTACAGAGCTGGCAGCGGGGGTCAGAACCCCAGCATCCAGGCCTCTGGGCCATCATACTCCCTGCCCACTGCAGGATCACGAGGACCAAGTGGAATCCAGCCAGGGTGGTGGTGGGTGTGTGTGTGTGTGTGTGTGTGTGTGTGTGTGTGTGTGTGTGTGTATGAGAGAGAGACCCCTCATCCCAGGTTCAGATGCCCGTTTGATGAGTAGGATTCAGGCAGTAGAGATGAGAGCAAAAAGCCTTCAACTTTACCGGCTTCCTGGCCCAAAGCCATGGGCCAACAGCTGGTGGGCAGATGTCTGGGGTCCCTGTGCCTTCTAGCAGAGCAGGGGTGGGCAAATCGCCCTCATGTGGAGAGCCAAGAAGCTCCCAGAGCACAGGGTGAAGGACAAAAAGGGAAGCCCCGGACCCCTGTGGCCTGAGGCGTGAGGCACCCCCAGCCTCAACTGGGGGTCTTCCCACAACCCACAAAAAAGAGTCCATATTGTGTACTGGAAAAACCCATGGGCTGAGTCTAAATACCAGGTTCTTAGCCACCTCTGTCCCTGACTAGCCTTGTCACTAGCCAAGTCACTGGGCCCCGTCTCTTGTTTAAAAAAACAAAGTAAGCTGAATTTAAAAACAAAACTAACTTTGGAGAAACTCCCGTTCTGACCAAGAAAAGAGCGGTGGTCTCCAAGTAAAGCATCCCCCAGGGTAGTGGGGAAAACTCGGGGGACACAGAGAGGTGGCCAAGGAAAGGAAGGGGCTTCACGTCCACACTTGGGGTGGAGACTCCAGTGCAGGTGTACAAGCTGGGGCAGTCAGGAGGGGTGAGAAGACCCAAACTTCAGTCTCCTCTAGCTTCTTCCCAGTAGCAGCAAAGGTTAGTCTTCCCAGAAATGATCTCAAATCAGCCAATCCGCCTTGGGAAGCAATGGTCGGATGTGCTTCACAGCCTGGCAAGAGGGCAGGAGAGCCTGGGACTGAACAGGGGAGACACTGAACAGAGCAGCTCTCCATGACAAACCCACCCCCCACCAAGCAGCTAGGCTGGAGAGGGGTCTCCTCCCCTCCGGGATTGGTGCCACTGGTCCTTCTCACTTGGACATCTCTGGGTACCTCATCGTCCCTCGTGACTACCAGCTACCACCATGTCCTCTGACCTTCTCTGGGGCGGGCACAGCACTGGGGGCTTGGAACTGTGACCCACACGAAGGCCAAGGTCCAGACACTCAAGGAGCAGAAAACAGACCAGTGGGGCTTCCCTGGTGGTCCAGTAGCTAGGACTCCATGCTCCCAATGCAGAGGGCCCAGGTTCAATCCCTGGTAGGGGAACTAGATCCCACATGTTGAAAATAAAAGATTCTGCATGCTGCAACTAAGACCCAGTGCAGCCAAATAAATTAAAAAGAAGAAGAAGAAGAAAGAAACCAGACCAAGAAATAAAGAGATGCAGAGGCCAAACTCAAATGACAGAAGATCTATGAAATACATGGGGAGAGAGGGATGTCTAGATAGAGCTACAACTGGAGAAATGCCAGGAGAGCCAAAACATTACAACGTGTAGCCTGAGACAGGACTGAAGTGCAGAAGATGGAAAGGCACACAGACACGGGGTGACAGAGAGAAAAGAAGCTGGGCAGGAGAGGGGAGACGCTGAGTATTGATCAGGTGTATGAAGGCAGAAGTGGGAAGGATGGAATTTATAGAAGTTTCAAAAGAATGATAGGGACTCCATCATGACCTGCTGCCGAGTAGAGAGAGAACATCCATTAGCCAGAAGAATTCCCCAGCCAGCCAGAGGGAGGGTGGCCCCGCCAGCTCACTCTGGGGCATGGCTGGAGTGGAGCCAATGGACATAAGGACCTGGCATTAGGCCTGGATGGGGAGGTGGGAGGGCAAGGGCTATGAGGTTGCGTTCTCGTCTTTGTTGTGCCCTGATCTTTCTCAAGTCTGGTCATGATGAGGAGAACCTGTGACCCAGAAAGAAGTCCATGTCCTAGGGTGCCACAGACCTCACCCAGAGAGCTCAGGGCCATACAAAGGGCCCCCTCCTTCCTCGAATTGCTATTGTACCTTTGGCTTTTTCTCTCTGCCCATTCCTAACAGGAATCCCAAACACCTCCAGCTAGGGATCTAGAGGTTGGGAGCACCCCAGCCTGTCCCATCACCAGGAAACATCAGTATTGGTGTGGCTGCCCCTCCCAGGGGCTCCCTCCTCCTCCCCTGCCTCTGTCCCCTGATTCAGACGGGGAACTGGGACTTTCCCATGCTGAGAGCTCTCCTCGAGAGGCAGCCCTGGGGTCTCCTCCAATGACTAGTCCTTTCTGAGATCTCATCTCCACTCCTCCAGCTGCCCCCTCCCTGGGACTCCAGGCTCAGAAAGGATGGAGATATCCATCTAGGAGGAGGGGGACAGGCAACAGGGCAGGGGCTCAGGGCCAGAGCCTGGGTTTTTCTGCGTGCCCTGGCCTTCCCACAGCAGCAGAGGCCCTCTGGAAAGGAGACTTGAGCCTCCGGAAGGTCACTGGCAGTGTGTCTGGGCTCCTGCTCCTTACTGCTTCCTCCTGGTGATTCATCCCCTCCCCCCATCCCCTGGTTGTTTTCACTCAATTCTTATGTTTCCCCTCCTTTCTCCTGTCCCAGACTGCGGGGGTGGCGGGGGCACCAGGAGGGGGTTTCAGGTGGCTGGCTGTCTTTCGTAGCTTTTCAAAACCCCAGACTCTCCCTCGCCCACCTGAGTTTTAGCTTCGCTACTTTCTCAGCCCTGGGACCTGGGTGTATCAGCAGAAAATTTTCACCAAGGGCAGGCAGGAGGGTTCCCCAGGTACAGCGGCTCCTGTTCTGACCCCCACCCTGCCCTCCCCCTCCTGCTCTTTGCGGCGGGGAGCCCACCTCCGTGGTTTCCAGCTTTGCAGAAGCTGTGGGAACTGAGAGCTGAGAAAGGAGGGAGGCTGGTGACCGGCTGGGGCACACAGGGAACCCCTGGCCGGAGGTGTGGTCTCTGTGGGGAGAGGGACTGAGTTGGAGCTGTGGGGTGAGGGCCCCTGAGCTAAGAAAAGAGATACAGTCCTCTTTCTCACTCAGTCACTCACTGGTTTCTGCAAAGAGGCCTGCCAGCATGCCTGACCTGAAAGCCAGACCACACGCCGGAGGAGCTGTGGTCCTGCAAGGAGTCCTAAGTCAGGAGCTCGGCTGGGGTGGGTGAACCATGGTTAAAGGCAGGAGGGGGCTAACACCACAGGATAAGGTATGGGGCAGAGGGAATAATGACTCTCTGGATCTTTAGACTAGACATGAGGCCCAGCTTTAGTTCCATGGGTGTCCTCCCTGAATTCTGGTCCTAGCCCACCCCCCTCACTTCACACTTCCGCTGCAGCCAGTAAACATGCCCCTACCCACAATCTGCCTAGTGCATTTGGGTGTCTCATCCTTCTAGAGTGAAAGGCTCAATGGTTGGGGACACTGCCTCTCAGGTTACGGAGACCTAGGCTTACATACCAGATCTCCCACTTCTGGTGAGGACCAGCAAGCTTGTGCAACCTTAGTCAAGCCACTTACTCTCCCCGGACTCTGTTTTCTCATTCTTAAAATGGGGATGATACAAAGAGTACCTACTTAATGGGATTATTGTGGTCATTGAACGAAAAATGTACGTAAAGCCTGGCACAGAGGAAGAATTTCGCCAATTCTTATGTCTATCATCCTTGTGTGTGCCCAGCTGCTCAGTCATGTCTGACTCTTTGCGACCCCATCAACTGTTGCCTGCCAGGCTCCAGTGTCCGTGGAATTTCCCAGGCAAGAATACTGGGGTGGGTAGCCTCCAGGCTTTTCTGTCCATGGGATCAAAAATACTGGAGTAGGTTGTCATTTCCTTCTCCAGGGGAATCTTTCTGACCCAGAGATCGAGCCCATGTCTCCCGTGTCTCCTGCATTGGCAGGTGGACTCTTGGCCACTCTGCCACCTGGGAAGATGCCACCTGTCATCATCATCCTTCATCAGGAGATGAAGATGTCCAGAGAAGTCCTCTGGAGAAAAAGAAAGAGAAAGAGGAGAGAGGAAAAGCCTAGCCTTGGATGGATAGAGCACCAGGGGAAGATGAGGACCTCAGGGTGCCTCTGTCTGCATCTTTCTCTGCCAGAGCTGGGGTGGTTCTGGGGTTTGAGGGGAAAGATCCCCATGGGTTGCAGCCCCTCCTTTGCTCCTACCACTTCCTCTCTGTGGCAGAGGGCACCTGGACAGGGCCCAGGGCTGGCTTTCTAAGGTGGCACGGGGCCAAGCTCGGGATGCATTCAAAGAGCGCTATCAATGAATCTTGCAGCTGCGAGAAGGGTGAGATCAGAGGAGGCTGGAGGGAGGGGCCAGCCTGCTTGGTCTCTACCGCATTTCCCCACATAGGACATGCTCGGAGGAGGCTCCCTGGGGGTCCTTCAGTCCCCAAAGCAGTCCACAAGAGATTCATTTTCTTTTCCTAGTACCTTATTGGAGTGAAGTATTAGAAGTCACACCGGTTGGCAGATAAAGAATGAGCTGGGGAGACCACCTGCCCCACCTTATGCCCCAGGAAGAGGCAGAAGCAGGAGGAGGGACTACACTCTTGCTACTCTGAAATGTAGGGTGAGGACCAGCAAGCTTGGGCACCAACCAAGAGCTTGTTCAAATGCAGAACCTGGGGCCCTCCGACTTCCTGAGTAGGGACCTGCATCTTGACTAGCTCCCTAGGGGGCCTTGTTGGCAACTCAGAGGTCCAGGGTCATGCAGTCACTAGGTGGTTTCAGGAGGTATCGTGTGTACGTGGGCACGTCATCTCCCTCCTTGGAATTGAAGGGTGTCCTTTGATGGGCCCTGGGAGAGAACCACAGTGAGCTACACGGATCTTCCTGAAGCAGCAGGCGAGGTCGGACAGAGAGGGCTGCTGCGGGAGCCATGCTGCAGGGGTTGACCTCGAGGCTCCTGACCTCTGCTTAGTTCTAGTTCCTGGCACTGTCAGGCCCTGAGATGGTAAGTTCCTGGCAGGCCAGGCTCCTGGGAAACAGCTTGAGTAATCCTGTGATTACTCAGCTCCCCTCCCCAATCTGGGTTCCCACCAGCTGCTGCTTCAGGGACAGGGCTCATGGGGGGAGGTTGCAAAGGTGAGGTATTCAAGGTGTTTTTCAGCTCCAGCTCACCCGACCGCCACCTCTGCCAGTCCCCTTCCCGTCCTCTCCCCACCCCTCCTCCACAAGTCACACTCGTGTGCACCGGTACTTTCTCTTTGAGGTTTTGGGTGGATGGCATGGCCGGGGTACAGGTGGCAGGGCTAGGAGGGAGGAGTAGGATAAGAGGGCCTGATGGCGCTGACAGGGCCAGGGCTTGGGCATGGGGCCAGGACGCGAGTGTGGGTTTTTTCTGTGTTTCCGGGGCTCTCTCCATCTCTGCGTCTGTGTCTGGCGTCTCCCGGGCCCGAACCTCTTGGTCTCTCTAGCTGACAGGCTGGAGGGTCTAGCCCCAAACCCCTGACCCTATGTGCCTGTCTCACTCTGTACCTCTGTCTCGGACTGTGGCTGGGGAGTGTGGGACTGTGTTTGGCTGGCCTGGTGGCTGGGGTCCAAACTCTGGTCTCCCCCAAACACGGGTATTTGTGAAGGTGGTCTGTGGCTGGCCACATCGTCCTATGAAAAGGGCAAGGTCCCGGTGACACTGTTGTGAGGTTCCTGGGGCTGGGACCAGCAGTGGGTCAGGCGGTGAGGCCGAGAGACGTGTCTGGGTCAGCCGTGTGGTCAGCGTATACACGCACACGGATGTGGCCCTTGGAGAAGGGAAGAGGCAGGGAGGCCTGTGGTTGAGCGCTGGGCTGGAACCCAAGTTCCCGCTGTGGCTTGGCCTAGTCTCCCTCCCGCTTACTTTTTGGGTGACCCACGATGGTTTCTGCCCTCTCCGGGCTGAGGGCCACTGGGGAGTGAGATCCCACAATGCTGGAGGGGAACTGTGTGGGGGAGAGGCAAGAGATGACTTCATAGGAGACAAGTACTTCTCTTGGGCCCCAAATGCCTTCGGGATTCTGTTCCCACCACTGTGCTCAACGACACAGCACACGGTGTTTACAGCTGCAAGGCACTTACCTCGGGTGATTCCATGTACCCGCTATGCTAACGCCCGTCACCCCCTGCACCGGCACTGAAGGCTGTGCTTACCCTGATTTCACTGACAAGGGCCCTGAGACCTAGAGAATCCAGTGTCTAAGATGGGCAGGCGTCCCTGCATTCTCTGCCCCTTTTCTAGGTATCCAGTCCTCCCTTGTTCTCTCTTCCCTCCATTCATTCCCATCTGCTCTTAATTTACTGGAAAGAATCTGAAAGCTCTCTTGCCGTCTGTCCGAGATGATCAGGACAGCCTATTGGGTGGCTGCTGGGCAGGCTAGTGGGCCTGCCTGAGAACTCAAGTTAGGAGAGACTCGAGTTCTAATGGAGGGATTTCAGACACCCGGTCCCCCATGAGAGGCAGCTGTACTCTGACTCAGGTCTACGCTGGCCTGAGGGGCTGATGGTTTAAGGGTGACAAAAACAATATTTGGGGGAGTAGTGGGCAAGCCATGGTCACCCTCCCCACCTCTCATCAGCAGGCCCTACACCACAAACCAGAGTCCAGGCCTAGGCCAGAAGAGAGTTCACAGGACTGTGGATTTGCCCTGTAGGCGGGCTGCTGCTTTCTCTGACCCTTGGAATCAGAGATGAGGAGGGGCTGTGGCCCTAGACCACTTTTACATCCTGCTCCATCCCAGGCATTCTCCCTCAGAGGGGAGGCAGCAGGTCAGCAAGGGCAGAGGAGAGACGCGCATGCCCTTAGGAGTGATGCAAACACCTGAAAGGGGACCCATCCCTGCCCAGTCCCTCCAAAGACTGGCTGGTGGGGAGGCCGGCGGCTCATCCCTGAAACTAAGCAGGAAGCTGTGGGCATTGACAAGGATGGGGCGAAGTAGAAATGAACCTGGGGCCAGTAACCAACCACAGCCATGGCACCAGGGAGGTAGGTTACAATGAGCTTAGTGGGAGAGGGGGAGGGTCCTGGCAGCCAGTGAACAAACACTAACACACAAACATGCACATGCAGACACTGGCCCAAGCAGCTATGCCTGTTAGCTCATGAATCACATACACCTTTCATGTACACAGGCACACATGAGCACCCCTTCAAACAGGCAACATGCCCACTGATGTGTGTGCCCCTGAAATCACAGACATGGGATCCGCAGAATGGAAAGCTATGGGGAACTGGGATGTAGACCCAGGTCCTGAGTAAGCTAGCTGTGTGAACCTGGGCCAACCATCTGATCTCATCTGGCCTACTCCTTCCTCTGTAAAGGGGGAAAAAAAGAGGTCTGAATGATCTGATGGTCTCTAGTCCCAGCCAGCGTTAACATTCATGATTTGGGCTCACACAACGGGAGGCAGAGGCCCATCGTACACACACGTAAGCATCCACACACAGAGCCACCCTCTGCTCTGGGCCAGGAACCTGGGAGCTCTGTTTGATCCACTCCCTGGCTCTCAGACATCCAGAAGAGCTGGCTTGCTGACCCCACTTTCCTGGGCTCCATCTGGCTTCTCTCTATCCTCTCTGGGCCCCACCCTGTGACCCTGTCCTCCCGGCCCCCCAGTCTCTGCACAGCCCGGCTGAGAATGGCAGGCAGGTCTACCTGGCCCCCAGGTGCCTCCCGCCTGGTGCACCGCATCTTCCCGCCAAGCCCCACACTCTGCCCTGGGGGCCAAGCCCCAGCAGGGGGAGGGCAGCTTAGAGGAAGCCCCCTGGGCGGGAAGCAGGTGTTGTGAAGTAGTGAGGACTCTTCGGTCCCCAGGCGGGAGGGAGGCAACTAGAGCTTTTCATCTTGAAGGGCTGAGCAGGTGGCCTCTCTGCAGCTGCCTTCTCTGCCCCCATAGAACTGATACAACCCCAGCCGCTCCACAAAACTAAAACAGCCTCCACAGATCCTTTGCTGAGTGGCATTTGGCATTCACTCCTTCTTCCATCTTATTGTTGTTCAGTCGCTAAGTCCTGTCCCACTCTTTGTGACCCCATGGACTGTGTGTAGCCCGCCAGGCTCCTCTGTCCATGGGATTCTCCAGGTAAGAATACCAGAGTGGGTTGCCATTTTCATCTCCAGGGTATCTTCCTGACCCAGGGATTGAACCCACGTCTCCTGCGTGGAAGGTGGGTTCTTTACCACTGAGCCACCAGGGAAGCCCGGTCTTCCATCTTATGAGAGAGAAAAAGCAAGATGGACTGGGATAGGGCAGCAGAGGAAGCACCACGTCCCTGTATCTACCTCCCAGGTGTTGGGTAGGATGCACTGAAGGTTCCCGGGCTGACCTCTGCTCTTTCTTTCTTCCAGCACAAATTGAAGTGATTCCTTGCAAAATCTGTGGGGATAAGTCATCAGGGATCCACTACGGGGTTATCACCTGCGAGGGGTGCAAGGTGAGTGCTCGCTCATACAGTCTTCAGAGGACAGGAGAGGGGGCTCGGTACTGCCTGCAGGGCTGGTCTCCTGAGACAGACAGGGAGCTGCCCGGCGGCGCCTTGCTTGGAGGGCCTGGAGGTGCACTGGAGGGCCTTGTCTTCAACTAGGGAAGTGACTGCAGGACAGGCTAATGAAGGAGAGAAAACTGAGGGGTCCTACGATCTGGAGGCCCTCAGACTGACCTGGGCCTGGCCAGGATCAGTAGCCATGGTCTTCCCCTTCCTTCCCCAGGGCTTCTTCCGCCGGAGCCAGCAGTGCAACGTGGCCTACTCCTGCACCCGTCAGCAGAACTGCCCCATTGACCGCACGAGCCGCAACCGATGCCAGCACTGCCGCCTGCAGAAATGCCTGGCCCTGGGCATGTCCCGAGATGGTGAGGCCAAGTGGGCAGCCCCCCAGGGCTTCAGTCGCCAGAGCGGCGGCCTGACCTACTGCACCAGACAGGGGTTAAACAGCCTTCCAGGTCTCCGCCATCCATCCTTCCCACTGGCAGGCCCTGGTCTCTCCCACTGTCCAACGTGGGGGTGGGCAGGCTGCCCTCATCAAAGGTCTTCACAGTCCCCAGCTTCAGGCTCTGCAACAACAACCCTTGTTTCCTCAAACTCCTAGGCCTTCTCCCCTTCTTCGGGGGGGAACTCTCCTCACCCGACTCCCCTCCAGCCCAGATCCCATCCCATCCACGGTCCACATCTTTCCCCAGCTGCCCTACTGGTCCAACTCCACCTGGCTCCCCGAACCCCCATCCCCAGCTTGGGACAAAGGGCTGTGACTATGAATGGGGCCAGAGTCACCCTGAGAACAGCCCGGAAGGCTGATGTTGGCGAGGGCGGCTGTTTCTGGTGCCTTTCTCCATCTTTCCCAGCCACTGCCCCCTTGCAGCCCCCAAACAGCTCCCCCCTCCAACACCACAGAAGGAGCCCAGGGTGGGGCTGGGGGAGGCATGAGGTGATGGGGAGCCAGAAGGAGCCTGTCAGCACTTTTCAGCGCCCAAAATAACAAAGTGAAAGGAAACACGCAGGGTTGCAAAGGGGCAGGCGGGGTGAGGGGCTGTGCCCCCACACCTGGGAGGGGTGGCGGGGTGAGTGAAAAGGCAGGAAAGAGGGCAGAAGAGGATGTTCAGAAGCAAGCCGCGGAGCCTGGGTTGGGCTGTGGTGAGTATCTAGGTCACAAGGGAGCCTGCAGGCCTGACCACAGGGAGACCTGTGTTCTCGGCTCTCCTCTTCCTCCGACCCTCCTAGATGGGCGAGGTGACCCCAATACAGCTTGAGGCTCCCTCCTCAGCCATCCCCAGCCCCATAGCAGGAGACCAGGCTCCTCAGCCCAGACTCGTTGCTCAAGTTCTGCCACTTAGTCAAAGCTGGTTTCAAACAGGGAGAGTTTGCTCAGAAGACTGATACGTCTGCTGATACATCTGGGCTGGACAGAAGCAGACAGGAGTAGAGGGCAGTGGGTCTTGAACAGAAATGCCTGGAAGGCAGGCTCTCGGGCCAGACTAGAGAAGCTCTGCTCAGAGTGAGCTCTTCAAGGAGCAGCAAGTTAATCCTGTAATGATCACAATGCCTATTGACTTTGCCCTGTGCCACGTCCTCCCGCCTCCAAAACTCCTGATCCCCCGACCTCTTTCAGCTGTCAAGTTTGGCCGCATGTCCAAGAAGCAAAGGGACAGCCTGCATGCAGAGGTGCAGAAACAGCTGCAGCAGCGGCAACAGCAGAGAGAGCAAGCAGCCAAGACCCCTCCCAGGGGAGCCCAAGGAGCAGACCCCCTCACCTGCACCTTGGGGCTCCCGGATGGGCAGCTACCCCTGGGCTCCTCGCCTGACCTACCAGAGGCGTCAGCCTGTCCCCCCAGTCTCCTGAGAGCTCCAGGCTGCGGGCCCTCCTACTCTAACAGCCTGGCCAAGGCCGGGCTCAACGGGGCCTCATATCACCTGGAATACAGCCCTGAGCGGGGCAAGGCTGAGGGCAGAGAGAACTTCTATGGCACAGGCAGCCAATTGGCCCCGGACAGGTGTGGACTTCACTTTGAGGACCCCAGGCGTCCTGGGCTTGGGGAGCCAGGACGGGGCCTGGACAGCTACTTCACCCCCAGTTTCCGCAGCACCCCAGAGGTGCCTTATGCTTCCCTGACGGAGATTGGTAAGCAGCTGGGGAGGCGGAGAGCGTAGAAAGATGAGGGAGGCAAGAAAGGGGCCCTCTGGGACTTCCGTGGTGATCCAGTGGTTAAGAGTTCACGTTTCCACTGCAGGGACATGGGTTCTATCCCTGGTCAGGGAACTAAGATTCCACATACTGTGCAGTGCGGCAAAAAAATGGGGTGGGGGGGTCCCTAGTCAGCATCCCATGTAAACCAAACATACACAAAGGTCTGGGGGGAGACAGAGCAGGGCTAGGCCAGGCAGAGGAACGCCCTTGGTATGTGAAAGGTAGGAGCTGGCTGAGATGGAACCTTTGCCTTCCTCCCCTGGCCCCAGAGCACCTGGTGCAGAATGTTTGCAAGTCCTACCGGGAGACGTGTCAGCTGCGGGTGGAGGACCTGCTTCGTCAGCGCTCCAATGTCTTCTCGCGAGAGGAGGTGGCTGGCTACCAGAGGAAGGTGAGGCCAGGACACCGCACCAGGGAGGAAGAACCGCCGCCACTACCCAGGGAGTCCAGAGACAGCAACCTGCACACATGAGTGGGCTGGGGCCAGGCAGGGTATCACAGAGAGACACTGTGTGTACCCGCTTTTAAGTATGCACCCTAGCAGATGGGTGAGAGTGTCTCCTTAGCTCCTGCCTATGGTTGTTTTACCTGGTCTTCATCCGTAAAGAATTTGCCTGCAATGTGGAGACCTGGGTTCAATCCCTGGGTCAGAAAGATCCCCTGGAGAAGGCAATGGCAACCTCCTCCAGTATTTTTGATCCCATGGACAGAAGAGCCTGGAGGGCTGTAGTCCATGGGGTCGCAAAGAGTCGAAACACCACTGAGTGACTCTCTCTCACACACACACACACACACACACACACACACACCCTATGTCCTTTACCACCCAGACCTAGAAGTACAGGCCTTAGCATACTCTCCTTCCTCCTCCTCTATCAACAATAATCAGACTCCTCATTAGCATCTGTTTCAACACTCTTTCTCTGCCAGGCACTGTGCTGAGCACTTTACATAAATTATCCTTGACCCTTACAAGAACCACCCTATGAGGTTGCCATTCCTGTTTTTAATGGACTGAGAAACTGCGCACAGAGGAGTTCATAGACATACTCCACGTCACAAGATGGTGGAGCCAAAGGCAAATTTAGATCCACTGGGCCCCAAAGTGCACTGTGCTAAGACTAGGCTAAAAACACAGGTGCTGAGAATGTGGGGGGTACTTGCAGTTTTGTCTGGGTTCCCAGGGCCTCAGTGGGGTCCTGGGGGGTCCTAAAAGCTCCAGTGGGACCTTCCTCCTCCTCTGCAGTCGATGTGGGAGATGTGGGGACGCTGTGCCCACCGACTCACCGAGGCCATTCAGTATGTGGTGGAGTTCGCTAAGAGGCTCCCGGGCTTTATGGAGCTCTGCCAGAACGACCAGATCGTGCTACTCAAAGCAGGTGCCCAGGGAGAGCGGGCGGGCCAGGGGGTAGTGGGGACCAGTGTGGAATGGGCAGGGCTGCGTGGAGGGAGGTGCCTTCAGGGAACCAATACACTGAAGGGGGACAGGGGCAGATTCCTGGCTCTGCCTGACAATGCGCCTGCATGTCTCCCCACTCCCCAGGAGCCATGGAAGTGGTGCTGGTCAGGATGTGCCGGGCCTACAACGCTGACAATGACACAGTCTTTTTTGAAGGCAAATACGGTGGCGTGGAGCTGTTCCGAGCCTTGGGTGAGGGGCAGGGGGAAATGAGCGAGAGGAGTCCGATGCCAACCCCATCCGAGGCTTCCAGACCCAGGGCGCCCTCTCTTCAGGACAGATTGCCCGCTCTGCTCCAGACACCAAGGGGGCGGGTATCCTCGGGCACCGTGGCCTCACCCACCTTGCTCACTGTTTCGTTTCCACCCTCCCAGGCTGCAGTGAACTCATCAGCTCCATCTTTGACTTCGCCCGCTCCCTGAGTGCCTTGCGCTTTTCAGAGGATGAGATCGCCCTCTACACAGCCCTCGTCCTCATCAATGCCAGTGAGTATCACTGGGCTTGGGCAAAGGACAGTCAGGCGGTGGGGGCACGAAAGGTACTGAAGAGTCTGGACCTTGTGTGCTGTGCGCAGCCTTCGCAGGTGGCACTAGTGGAAAAGAACCCGCCCGCCAGTGCAGGAGACATAAGACATGTGGGTTTCCATCCCTGGGTTAGCAAGATCCCCTGGAGGAGGAAATAGCAACCCACAGGCAGGCGGTGGGGGCCTGACAGATACTGAAGGGTGTGGACCTTCGCTGTGGTTAAATCTGGGAAGGCGCTTTATAGAGCAGAATAAGCCCACCCAATGTTGCTGTAAAATAAGATCAGTCAAAATAAAGATCCAGAGGAGCCTGAGAGAGGGAAGAGAGAAGTGCAGGTGGGGCTGGAGAAGTGGGGAGACAGGAGGAAGAGAGGAAGTGAGCCGCTTCCCTGAGAGCAATTAGGCTGCATATGAGTCCCTGCCGGGGATTCCATTGTGGCTCCCACACTGGAATCACCTGCGGAGCTTTAAAAAATGAGTGCTGTGACTCTGACGTCATGGATCTCAGGTGCAGCCGGAACACCAGAATTTTTCACAGCCTCTCGTAGGGTATTGTAATGTGCCACCAAGCTTGAGAACCGCTGCTCTGTGTGAACTCATTTTAAGACAACACGCCATCGGGAATTCCCTGGCGGCCCAGTGGTTAGGGCTCCACGCTTTCACTGCTGAGGGTGCGGGTTCAGCCACTGGTGCGCAAACTAAGATCCCACAAGTCCTAGGACAGAGCCAAAAATAAAAACAAAAGGCTACCTGCCATCAGGGCAGGACTCTGGATGTCCACTCCACAGAATGGAGTGGGCTGGGTGAGCCAACTGAATGCTAAGGATTCCGAGAACCTGGGGAAGTGGGTTGTGCTACTAACCTGAGTTTGTAGACCACGTTATCAGTCCACTGGCTCTGCCAATGAGTAGAGACTGAAACATGTCCCTTGAACTGGAAATAAAGACTGAAAAGATGACTTCTGGTTATTTTATGGAGTCAGGACAAAAGGCGGTTTGTCTCTTGAAGTTAGCCACAGACTGCTGCAGAAGCCCCAGTGCTGACCTAGGTGCTGGCTACTCAAGGCCCATCTCCTCTCTGGGGCTATCCTTGCCAAGTCGGGGTGAGGGGGAGATCTTTTCTTCCCCACAGCAGAGTTTTAATGGAGAGCACTGAATTAGCTATGTGAAATATCAGGTACCAGGCAGAAGGCAGCCTGGAACTGGGAGATCAGAATGTCTCATCTCTTTCATCTCTCCCCAGTTTTCCTTATAGAGAGCTACCCAAGGCCCCACATCTTACCAACTCCAAAACAACACACAACCACACCCCCTACACTGTCTCTCACTCAGCTAAGAAGATCTCTGTTCAGCACAGATGTCCAGAATGACACACCCTTTGGGGGAAGTTAACGTCCATGTTCTTTCTTGTTTTTGCTGTGGTCCCATCCCCTCCTTCAGACCGGCCAGGGCTCCAAGAGAAGAGGAAAGTAGAACAGCTGCAGTGCAATCTGGAGCTGGCCTTTCATCATCATCTCTGCAAGACTCATCGCCAAGGCATTCTGGCAAAGGTAGGAGCAGTCCCTGGGACAGAGGAGGTCAGGCCCGGTGCCAGGTCTGTGACCTCAGGGTTTGCGAAGACTAGGGTCTGAGGGTCCAGAGGAGGAAGTGCCTGAGAGCTAAATTGTATGAGAGAGCTTGCAACAGCACAGGACACGGGGACTGAGCAGTCACTTCTGTGCGGGTACAGATGAAAAGTTAGGGAGCCTGAAATTGGGAGGGACCTCCAGGGAACAATTCAGTTTAATAGAGCCACCGCTTACCAGCACCTGCTTGTACTGTGAGTGGAAAGATACAGAGATTCTGTCCTTACCCCCACCAAGAGTTTTCAACCTGCTGTGAAGAAGAGATTTGTATACCAATGACTCTAATGCAGAATAGGATGTGATACGGGATAAAATAATAACGTGGTTAACAACATGCTTTCCCTGATATACTCATCTTTGTGACAACTCAGTCAGTAGGAGAGATGTTAAAATCTCCCTGTAGTGATAAGGAAACCTAAATGACTTGTTCAAGTTTACACAGTCATGGATGATAAATGCAAGTCCCAGGGCTCTTTCTACCACATCTCTGTGCCCCTGATATATTACTACAATAAGAAATATTGGGGAAATGTGACAGCGTGGAATAGGGATTAAAAATAACTTGAGGGCAAAAGGAGAGGATCATAAATGCTTCCTAGTGAAGGCCATTTAAATATTTATTTAAACTAGGCCATTAAATATTTATTTTAACAGGCATTGAGGGGTGGGGTAGGCATTCCAGGCTTAGGGAACAATATGAGAGCAAAAATAAGGAGCTAAAATAATGTGTATACGGAGAAGAGTTCATGGAACATTTTGACTACATGAAGATCAGAAGCTGGGATAGATTGATGGGGGCAGGAAAGTTGCTGAAGACAAGCTTAAAAATTAGGTCAGGGAGCAAATCAGAGAGGACTTTCAATGCCATATTAAAGAATTAAGACTTTATTTCCAGGCAATGGAGAGCACCAAAGGCTAGAAGAATGATATCATCAGAGCTATTTTTTAGGCAATTCAATTTGGAACCAATGTAAGGGGACCATTTATGGAATGGTTCAAGCAATGGACCCTTGCTGTGTGCCAGGCACTGTGCTGGGTGCTGAGAATACAGAGATGACTTAAATGACAGTCTCTGCCCTACATAAACCTCAAGTCTGGTAGAGTAGTTCAGGAGCAGGAGAACCTGGGAGAGCAGTTGAAAGCAAATCTGGTGGAATCCACCTTCGCCATGTATCACCTCCCCACCGTCACCCTCTTGCTGTCAGTGCTCACTTGGACCATTAGAGAGGCCTCCGACTGGACCCCTGCTCCACCATGTCCGTCCTACTGCAGCCACACAGCACTCCTCATTGCTCCTATAGCTGCCATCGTGCTGGGAATCAAATCCAGTCTGTGCCATGGCCAACTGGCCTCGTGGCATGACCCCCAACTTCTTTGCTCACCTCCTCCCCTTCCACTGCCCTCTCAGTCACCCATTCCAGCAGCACTGGCCTCCTTGCTATTCCTTAAACACATCAAGTTGCTTCTCAGGGCTTTTGCACCTGCTGTTCCAGGTGCCTGGATGCTTCTTCCCCTAGTTTTCCTAACAACCTGCTCCACCCCTTTTTTCTGGAGGGGTTTTCCCAGGCCACCCCATCCAAAATGCTTTCTACCCATCAGTACGTTTTATTGTTTTTTTGAAGAAGTTTTCTATTATTTATTTTCTGGGTCCCTCACTAGAATATACATTTAATAAAGGTAGAGATTTTATTTTATTCACCGATGTACCACCACAGCCCATCACAATGCCTAGCCAAAAGGTTCTCAACACATATAATGAGAATGAATGAAAGAATGAATGAGTGAAGCTGTGCAAGATAAAGCAGGAGGAACAAAGAGAGGATGAATTCAAGAGGTATCAAGGGACCCCATGCTGCCTGCTCTTCCTGACTGTCCCTTTCCTAGATAATTAACCTGGGGAGAAAGGGATGGTGGCTGGTGAGAGGTGTTTTTAAGCCTCACTTGGTGATACAGGAAACTGCAGAAGATAAATGGTTTTCTCAGTCTTTCTCCGGTGAGGTCTCTCTGCCTCTGTCTCCTCATGGATCTCTGGGCCTTTTTCATTCCCCTCCACTGGCTGAGGACTGGCAATGTTGGTTTACTATTTTCAGTGTTGGATATCTGTTTGGAAATTGCTTAGTCCAAAGAAACAGTTATTGAGCATTTGCCATGTGCAAGCAGTACGATAGGTACAGAGGATGCAGTGAGTGGGGGAGGAGAGGGAGGGAGAGAGACTCAAGGAGCTTAAATCCAGGCTGGAGAGATAGACAAACCGGATCATTTTCCTAAAATGGGATTTAAGTGCTACACAGAGGGAAGCCCAAAGAACGGGACCTTTAATCCAGGAAAATAGCCCTAGAGGAGGTAACACCGAAGGTAAGAATTAGCCAAGCACAGAAGAATCGAAAAGGCATTCCAGGTAAGGGGAATAGCATCAACAAAGGCAAACAGGCACCTAACAGTATGTACCAGAGAATCACAGACGTTCACTATTATAAAAGCATGGGGACTTCCCTGGTGGTCCAGCAATTAAGACTTCATGCTTCCAGTGCAGAGGGCATGGGTTTGATCCCTAGTCAGGGAATTAAGATCCCACATGCCACATGGCACGGCAAAAAGACTTTTTAAAAAAGCATAAGAGAGTGAGTTAGAGAGTCCTGAACAGGGCTCATTTAATGAGTATCAGGAACACCATTCGGGGGTTCGGCCAGAAAACATGTTCCTATTCCACTGCAGTTCTCACGTGCCTCCAGTTCCTTGAATACAGACCTACCCCTACCAATGGGATCTGGCCGACCCGCAAGTGCTGAGTGTGCAGGGACAGAGTACAGAGGGTTATCCCAGCCCAGGAAGGATGGGAGGACTTCTCTGACCTGGGGACAGAGCTGCAGTACTCACCCTCCTTCCCCATGAACCCACCTCCAGCTGCCACCCAAGGGGAAGCTGCGGAGCCTGTGTAGCCAGCATGTGGAAAAGCTGCAAACCTTCCAGCATCTCCACCCTATCGTGGTCCAAGCTGCTTTCCCTCCACTCTACAAGGAACTCTTCAGCACTGAAATCGAGTCACCTGAGGGACTGTCCAAGTGACCTGGAGGAGGGACTCCGTTTCCTTTCCTAGAGCCTGCTGGCTCACCTTTCCCTTGGCCTTTTCCTTTCCTGTGGCCCCTGGAGGGTGGTCTCTGACTGTTTGGGGGGATGGGTGAACAAATGCTGAGACTGGGTTTCAGCCCACCAGCCTGCCTGGCAGCAGGCCAAGAACCAGAGGGTCGGGATGGAGGGGCTCCATCCCCAGCTTCAGCTTTGTCCAGACTCCTTTCCCATGCCCTGTCACCCCTAGTTTCTAGGAGGCCTGGGGTGGGATACAAGGACCTCTTGGAGGACCTAGGTATCCTCAGGACAATAGGGGGTTCCAGGACACTCTGGATGAATGGAACTCAACTCTGGACTCAGAAGCTAAGAATAGGACTTTGAAATACCTCATTGCATTTCCCTGGGGGCTTTGGCTGGGGTGGTGCAACAAGCTTGGAGACTGGCGGCCAGAGCCCAGAAGGACCTGTATATAACATGAATCTGCATCACTAGGTTTTCTGCCTTCCCCCTTCCTCCCAGCTCAGCAAGGAAATGGTTAGGCACTCTGGGGTCTTAAAAAAAAAAACAAAAACTGGATATGTGAAGGGTAAGGATGGGATGGGAGTAAGGGAGGGGCTGGGGATGATAATTTTATGGGATTTGCATATAGGGATAGGGTATGATGAAGACCAAGAACATCACAGACAATTAGAACTCAGACTTCTTATGTGCACTTTAAAAATAGACTTTAGGAGTTACCCAAACCTGTCAGAGACACACATCTACAGACAGGTGAAACATACTCACACACTCAACCTGCAGTCATGCGGCTCTATAGACACATTTAATCTGACACAATCTCTGTCTTCCTTGAGGTCACATCTCAGAGGAATTTAGCAGTCTCAGGGAAGAGTCCCAATCCTGAGGAACCCCAGAACATTTCACCTGGTGCCCAACTTCACCAGTCTTAGGCCAGGGGTGGCCCAAATTCTATGTCAGCCCCAGCTGTCTTCGGTTGCAAGAAATCCTAAAAGGCTGGACGCTGATCAGTCACAGGGCCAAGGACAGACCCTTGGAGTACTAGTTGTCTGGTCCCCATCCTGCAGCTCTGCTCTTATTATGAAAAAGGAGGCAGATGCAATTCCAGCACTCTCTATGTGGATACCGCCGGGTCCAGCAAGGTGGAGAAGACCGTGATCTTGCCCAAGAACTTCTCTTGGTTTTATAAATAGCTGTGTGCCCTCCTTGGAGGGAAACAGCAGGTGGTCAGAAGGTTTGGTTTTTTTCTTTTTTTCTCCTCTCAGGGGAGTGTAAACATAAACCCCAACCTGTGCCATTCTTTATAAAATGATTTCAAAGGCAAGAGGTGTGTGTGTCAGGTTGGAGGAGCCTTAATGAAGGTTATCCTAGTACTTCTCTGAAACCTCATTTCTGCATGAGGACCCAGGTTCCTAGCCCAGGCAGCCCCCAACCCTGAGCCGTCCCCCATAGAGGTGAGGGAGCTGACTATCAGGAATGCCCCCTGCCCCCCACCACTGAAGCAATCTCAGACTAAGCACCACAGCGGGTGCTCTGGGCTGAGAACTTCCCCCACAAATGAAACCCACAGGGGACATTGAGAATGAGAGGTGGCACAGAATCGCCCGGCATGTGAGACTGAAAGACAACCCTATGCAGAGTGCCTGGCCAGCCCCAGAGCTCCCCAGGGGGAGTCAGGATGTCCAAGAGACTCCGTGGAGCTGCCAACCCTCCCACCCCTGGGGCTCCAAGCCTCCCCCTGCGCTCCCTCCCCTCCACGGCCAGCCTGTAGTGGCGACTGCTGCAGCCCTCCCTGGTTGCTTTATTTATTTATTTTGCACCAACAGGGTTGCTGCAGACTCATTCTCGCCCGGTTTAAAAAGAGAGAGAGGAAAAAAAAAAAAGGAGAAATGCTTTCTGGCTCTTCTGTCTACCTCGGTCTTGGCAGCAGGCAGCCGCAGCAGCAATAGCAGCAGCAGCCCGGCAGGCGGGCAGGCGGGGAGTGAGGTAGACGGGGAGGTGCAGGCCGAGGGGCAGCTTGAATGGGACGGGACCCCAACCCTCAACAGACGCGGTGCCCAACTTGATGCCACCCTCCGGCTTCTCCGGTAAGTGCCCCCACCTCCTGTCCTGGAGCTGCAGCTGCCCTTCTCCAAAACATGCTCAGAGACAAGGCCAGACCCATGAGGGCTAGAGGGTTTGTGCCCACTCCACCCCCAGCCCACCATTGATCTTGGCCCCTTAGGACTCTGATGGGAAAAGTAAAATGTCCCAGGTGCCCCTGGGCAGAAGGACTCCAAGGAGATCTCCCTCCATTTCCCAGGTGCTCTCTCTACTTCTGGGAAGGATTATTTTGCAATCAGTGTGGATATTCCAGAGATCTTTCTTCCAGGAGCCCCCTCCACATGTAGTTTCCCATGCTTCACTCAAGTCTGCTTTAAAGAGGCTGTCCAGGATCAAATATGTCCCTGGACTGGCACACAGAGACAAGAAGAAGAAAGCACCTTGCTTCTTGAGGGTGATGCCCCTGGACCCCAGCCTACCTGAGGAGAGAAAGAAGTGGTTCTGACACCTATCTCTTCCTGCAAAGTGGCCGGGAGCCAGTCCCATAGCCACGGAGCTTGGCAAAGGAAGTTTATGATTACATTAGCCACCTTTAAAGAGAAGGGGCCTGGAGCTGCCAGCCCCTGGTCTGGCAGGCTCTGGAGACTAAGAGGATGCTCACAATAGTGGGAAGGAGGGAAGCTGGGTTACATGCTTCACTGCACTTTTGCTCAATGCAGGAAAGAAGGAAGAGCAGGAACTGCAGCAGTAGTGATAAAGAGCTAGCTGTCAGGTGGACTTCCCAGGACAGGCACTGGGGGAGGGGGGCAGGGATGAGGGAAGCTGGGACGTTGCTCCTTGGAGAACTCTTAGCATGCCATCCATACCTGTTAGGTTGGGAACAGGGGAGCCTGCTCAGTAGCCTCAGCTGGGCCATTCTTTCTCATGCCCAAGCCCCAGAACAGTGTCCCACATCCCTTGCTCTTTCAGTCTCTTTCTGCAGTTCCTGAATTACTATGGTCCTCTGAAATAGCTGTAGGGTAGCCACCTGAATGATCCTTGTGGGAGGGGGTATAGTGTGGGAAATAAAGGGGAAAAAAATCACACTCTCTTTAACTGTCTTTCCTAAGTTCCACCTGGGAGAAAATGGCCCATGTGGTAGAAAGTTGACATCATAGGGCCCAGAAAGACAGAAGTCTGAAAGGTCAAAGGTGACTGGGTTATGCAGCTAGAAAGAAACCCAGGCATCCTGCCTCCCAGGGAGCATTAGTTTGCTCTTGTCCTATCTCTGCAGCCATCCCTTGCCAATTCCAGTACCTCCCCTCTCTTGGGGTCCCAGTGGTCATTAGACAGGGTGGGTCCATGGGATCTTTTCTCCTCTGTCACCTCATTCAGCCTCCAGTGGTCATCATAGCCACCATCTTCCTAATTTTGCCCAGGCACCTGGCACCCAGAAACTTACTTTAAGTTGACAGGCTGGGCACACAGCCTGTGCGGAGATCTCCTATGCCAGCCAAGGGCCTGCCTACTCCCACCACGGTATCTTCAGACACTGTCCCTCCTCACTCGTCTATGCCTCCCTGGCTCCCAGCGTGTCTCTTGTGCATTTCTCAGGCAACAGAGGCCAAAGGCGATAAGAGATCTCTCTCATACTCCCACACCGGGTTTGAATCAAAACAGCACGGAGGGGAATGAGAGAAGCCTAAGTCTGAGGGCCACGCAAATAATGCTCAGGCCTCTCTTGGGTCCCTTACACCACAACATCATCCACAGAGGAGGTGGGCTACCCTTGGGGCTCTGGTGAGGGATTCATGTGTGCCCTGTATCCTCTGCCACATTTACTGTGCAGCTTGGCTGTCATCCACAAGGCGTTCTGGGGAGATTGCCTCGTGTTAGTCTGGGGCCTCAGGCCCTGGGCCAGACTGGAGGAGGGCAGAGAGGCAGTGAATGGAGCCTGGGGGGTGGGGGGCAAATTGAGGTCCACCTGCTTTCCAGGTGTGGATGACTTAGTCAAGGTGAGGCCTCTCTCCAATGAGGATCCAGGGATATGATCCCCTTAAGCCTTAGACAAAGCTGTGGGCAGATAAAATGAGAGAAGAGTGGGCAGAGAGGGACAGGGCAGAGACTAGGAGAGCAGCTGTCCGGAGAAGGGACCTAGGTATTTCTGGATCTCTGAGATAGAGGGAAACTCAAAAGTTATTTCCCTGCTGCTTCCTGTCATGTTCCCATAAAACCTTCCCCACTGGACTAGGGTTCCATGAGCTAGTAAGCACTTGGCCTGTTACCCAGGGGTGGTGGAGGGTAGTAGAGAGTCCCCAGAGAGGAGGCTCCAGTGGGTGTACGCCAGAATCTCTCCTGTGTCTGCACACTACCTGGCCACGCTGAGACAATCTCTCTCCTCTATGGAGGCTCAGGGAAATCCATGGTACCCATCATCTGAGCCACTTTCCAAAAAGGGCCATGTCATCCTCTGTTCCAGGAGCAAAGAGGGCATGGCTGTGGCCACAGCTCCAAAGAAAGCCTGGCCCCCATGGCCCCCGGTCTTTTTCCTGCTCCTCCTGCCGGCGGTGGGGAGCAGCGGCACCTGCCCCGCTGTGTGTGACTGCACCTCCCACCCCCAGGCCGTGCTGTGCGCCCACCGGCGACTGGAGGCTGTCCCGGGGGGACTCCCACGAGACACCGAGCTCCTGGACCTGAGTGGGAACCGCCTGTGGGGGCTTCAGCAGGGAATGCTCTCCCGCCTGGGCCAGCTCCGGGAGCTGGACCTGAGCTACAACCAGCTCTCCACCCTGGAGCCGGGGACCTTCCATGGCCTGCACAGCCTACTCACCCTGAGGCTGCAGGGCAACCGGCTGCGAATCATGGGGCCGGGGGTCTTCTCGGGCCTGTCTGCCCTCACACTGCTGGACCTTCGCCTTAACCAGATCGTCCTCTTCCTTGACGGCGCTTTCAGGGAGCTAGGCAGCCTCCAGCAGCTGGAGGTTGGGGACAACCACCTGGTGTTTGTGGCTCCGGGAGCCTTTGCCGGGTTGGCCAAGCTGAGCACCCTCACCCTGGAGCGCTGCAACCTCAGCACCGTGCCTGGCCCAGCCCTGGCCCGTCTCCCGGCACTGGGGGCCCTGAGGCTCCGAGAACTGGACATTGGGAGGCTGCCAGCGGGGGCGCTGCGGGGGCTGGGGCAGCTAAGGGAGCTGGAGATCCACCACTGGCCATCTCTGGAGGCTCTGGAACCAGGGAGCCTGGGCGGGCTCAATCTCAGCAGCCTGGCCATCACCCACTGCAATCTGAGCTCGGTGCCCTTCCAAGCACTGCACCACCTGAGCTTCCTCAGGGTCTTGGATCTTTCTCGGAACCCCATCTCAGCCATCCCAGCACGGAGGCTCAGTTCCCTGGTGCGGCTCCAGGAGCTCCGACTGTCGGGTGCCTGCCTCACCTCCATTGCAGCCCACGCCTTCCATGGCTTGACAGCCTTCCATCTCCTGGATGTGGCAGACAACGCCCTTCAGACACTGGAGGAAACAGCCTTCCCTTCTCCAGACAAACTGGTCACCCTGAGGCTGTCAGGCAACCCCCTGACCTGTGACTGCCGCCTCCTCTGGCTGCTCCGGCTCCGCCGCCGCCTGGACTTTGGCTCTACCCCACCTGCCTGTGCTGGCCCCCAGCATGTCCAGGGGAAAAGCCTGAGGGAGTTTTCAGACATCCTACCTCCAGGGCACTTCACCTGCCGACCAGCCCTGATCCGAAAATCTGGGCCGCGCTGGGTCGTGGCTGAGGAGGGAGGGCATGCTGTTTTCTCCTGCTCTGGAGATGGGGACCCGGCCCCCACCGTCTCCTGGATGAGGCCTCAGGGGGTTCGGCTGGGGAGGGCTGGGAGAGTAAGGGTCCTCCAGGATGGGACACTGGAGATCCGCTCTGTGCAGCTCCGGGATAGAGGGGCCTATGTCTGTGTGGTCAGCAACGTGGCAGGGAATGACTCCCTGAGGGCCTGGCTGGAAGTGATCCAAGTTGAACCACCGAATGGCACTCTCTCTGACCCCAACATCACCTCGCCAGGGATCCCAGGGCCTTTCTTTTTGGACAGCAGAGGCATAGCTATGGTGCTGGCGGTTGGCTTCCTCCCCTTCCTCACCTCGGTGACCCTCTGTTTTGGCCTCATCGCCCTCTGGAGCAAAGGCAAAGGCCGGGTCAAACATCACATGACCTTCGACTTTGTGGCACCTCGGACCTCTGGGGATAAGAACTCTGGGGGTAACCGGGTCACTGCCAAGCTCTTCTGACCTTTCCTTCCACAGTGGGGCCTCA